GAACACTCTACATTTAGAAAATCTCAAAACTCATACTCATTCCCTTCAACCACTTACTGTACTCAAAAGATCTCAAAGTGCAGACTGGAAAAGAAGAAAACAAACAACACACCTTGCTCACCACCTATCACCATCCTGGAATCCCCTAAAAAGAGAGAACAGCTCTAACACATACCTAAGATCAGACTTTTCTCATACAAAAAGGAAAAAGTAGATCCCAATGTTCATTAAATTACTTTTGGACACATAAGTTACATATGGATTTCCTTTCCCATCTCTAGTTAGTACATTGGAATCTCACATAATTACTCATTTGGAGAGATATTTGTTGCCCCTCCCCAGAAAAAGAAAAAGAAACTGATCAACTCTCCTCACTCTTAAACTCCTTGAATTCAAACAGCCCTTACATTCATGCATTCGTTGCAATGAAGGATTTTAATTTAGTGGCACATTAAAAAAAAAAGCACTGTCCTGCAGTCAGGAGCAATGATTTCAAGTCATGGTCCTTCCAATTACTAGTTGCTGTGACAGAAAAAAGTTATCGTACTACAGTCAGTGGTATATCTCAGTTTACCCATCTGTAAAATAAGGGGAGTATACTAAACTACCTCTAAAAGTCTCTTACAACTTTTTTCTTTAAAAATCATACAATGATACCTTTTTGAAGCATGCATTATAGCAGATATAAAGATTTGAGGCAGACAAACCATACTAATTAGCTGTGTGATTTTGGGTACATAATTTAAACTCCAAGTCTCCGTTTTCCAATGTCTAAAATAAGAATAATTGTTTTTGTTTTTTTTTTTAAATCACAGCATTAGAGAACATTAACACTAGCTTCCAAACACCTTACATACACTAAGAAAATAAATAACATCTGTGTGTGTTGGGCTGAGGGTATACATTAGAGAGACTCCTCTCAATTTATCTTACAGAATCTGCACCTTTCTAAACAAAGAAATGCAGTTGTCTTCAAGAACAACCACAAATGTTCACAAGCAATGCACTACGTAAATTCCATTTTAACAAATGTAACTTCCAGAATGATGTCATTGCATTTCAATTATAAACACAAGGAATATTTCTATCCATAAAGAGGGGACTATTACTTGGAGGACTTGTTTAAATAAACTGAATGATTCACCACTGTATTTGGCAACCACAGAAGCTTCTTAGGGGTTTTATATACTCAGAGATTTTTTGGGGTTGGGCTAGGCCACAGGACCAGTCAATAGCCAGGCAAAAAAAAGAAAAAACCTGTCTTCACCTCTGATCTTCTCTACCTGGAAAACTCTGCATGCTTCTCCAAAACATAAACCTGATATCCTGGCAAATAAAAAGAATTAAAAGCAAAACAAGTTTAATTCCAATATATTACATCCTACTACTTCTTTTCATTAGATGAACTGTTTTTCATTATCTTTAAAAATTTTTTTGCACTATTTTAAATCATAACACTACCTCAAGACCTTTTCATAGGCTCACTAAACTAGTAATAACAACCATTCACAGTTGTGTTGTCCTTTAAGGTATTCAAAGCACTTTCCTATGATAAACCTGTGATTCAAATAATACAAATCCCACTCCTAGCTGAAGTACAAATTCCCTTTAAACTCCCAAAAAATGATCAGCTGGCCTCCAAATGAAAACCTTGTATGGCAGGGAAATTTAACTTCCACAGTGACCAAGTCCACTTTTCCATCAGCACTGCTAAGAATACTTTCCTTCTAAGAAGCTGAAATCAGCTTCCCTATATTTTCCTAATAGTTTTCGTTCTACCTTCTAGGACCAAACAGAATCAATCTAAGCTTTATTTAATGTCACAACCCTTCAAATACTTGAAATTAGGCATTATGTAAGAACTCTTCTTAATTAATCTCCTGCCCCGCCCCTGCCCCCCATTCTTACCCACCTTCTCAATAACCAAGCCAAGTCTTGTCCTCTCTAGGGCAAACATCCCCAGTACTTCAAATAATCTTCACATGGTAGGATTTCCTTTAGGAATAGGTGGTGTTCAAACTTTTAAAAAATGCAATTCCTGAGTCAAAACAATATTTTCCCTAGAGAGACTGATTTGCTGGCAAACACTTCAGAATATGTTTCTATGGAGGTTTTCATTGTGCAGAATCTTTAGGAACCAATTAAGTAAGGGACTGTGACTTATGTTCTATCTACTGGAAAACGAAAATACCTTCACTAGAAAGGCCACACTGTGTAAAAACTGCTATTTGTTTAAGCAGTCATTTACTCGTAACAATAAACAGGAAGGTCACATGAGTAAGGAGAAATGGAAAAAAACTTTTTACAAAAGTATACTAACTGTAATTGCTGAACAGTTCGCATACTTATGTGTCATTGCTCCATGTGAGACTGCAAGTGTTCTCTGAACCTTAAAGTGCAATGTAACTGTGAGAGGTATTATAAGCACTAAGGGCAGAGAAACTATGTCTTAATTATCTTCATATTCATTTAACCACAAAGCTACATATTATATGTAATACTCTACATCATATTTCCCTGTGGTTTTCACATAGTAAGCTACTAATTGCTTAGTGAATTCAGAATAGTAAAGGAATAATTAGATGACCAAGGACAGAAAAAGGTGCCAGAAGGAAATCACGTAGAATGGAAAAAGAAATCAACTGCAACTCAGTAACGGATATAATCAATATATACAGAGAAAGTATCTTCCAAAACGTATGCCACGGGATTGCTGAAAGTGGATTTGGGGGAGAACATAACTGAAAAACTCACTTTCAACAAGATGCATATATCCAGAATAGAAAAGCTCCTGAGGTGAAGTAGTGATGATACACAAACAAAAAGACATCGTTGTAAAACATTTTAAATGGATTCATTTTGTTCACTGTCACAAATAGAAACTATACAGAAAGTGACTAGGAGGACTAAATGCTCAACCTAGCTATCAAACACTTAACCATAATTAAGAAAGTAAAATCCTCATGCTTGCAAAGTTTTAAATGCTGTTTCTCCAGCTACCTCAGGAGCAGGTAACAAAGTCTTTCTACATACAATGCCTAGGTACTAAAAATATGAATCAAATGGATAAATAATTTCTAAGTTCAGTCAAGGAACAAGCAGTCTGAACAAATAATGGTATCAAGTAAAATAAAAATACCAAAGCTTTATCCTAGTATATACTCAAACTGGAAGGCAGTGCAATGTGATGAAGCACTGACTTTGAAAACAGCACGGATTTGAGTCCTGCCTTTCTCACTGGCCAGCCATGTGACCTGGGTTTGTCACTGCCCCCATCTAGGCCTCAGTTTCTTCAACTACAAGAGTAGACTAGGTTCTCTTTAATGTTCCTTTTCCAACATTCTCTTCTCATGCATAGCTACATCTAAAAAAATCAGATATTATCTTATATTATCACCAGGGTCCCTAAATTTGAAAAAAGTAACGTTTTTGAATGAACAGAATTCTGTGAAGTACATATAAACTAAGACAGGGAAATAACTTACCCACGATCAGAAACAGAATCTGGCTCAATTATGAACTTTTCCAATGTTAAAATCGCTAAGCCCACTTATTTTCTGAAAAGCCACTGAGAAATATTTATTTGAACTCTATTAAGACTCCCAACTGGAGAAACGGCAAACCACAGCTCGGCAGCGATCCTACATTCTCAAAAGCCATTCAAGAAGAGGCCATGCTCTGGTAGGTCCTACCAAGCTGGAAACGATTCTTGCGGACCTAGTGACAAGCCGGTTAAATATCACCTGAGACTGAGAACCAACCAGGCTAAGTTAAGCTTCTCTGATCAATAAGGTACTAAGTGCATAATGAATTTTGCAGCCACAGCAATTCTTAAATATAAGCTACTAAGTAGCTAACTACAGTATGTACTGCAGGATTACAATCAGCATTGGTGAATGGAGTGCCCATGCATATCAAGGAAACTACCAAGCCCTCGAGTAGGCATAAAACATGTTACAGCTATCATTCCATTTGAGGGGCTACTTTATGTAGAAGTGATGCACATGTAACAATCTTTAGATTTCACCAACTCTTATTCTTTATTCCCTTCCTCACTACTCATGACAATGATTTTCAAAGGTAAGATTTTAATGCAAGCTTCTTTAATAAGTGATATTGGTAGGGTGACAGTTCTCAGAAAATAAAATGTTTCCAAAATTTTCTACACATCACAATGACTCATTCTTTTAAAGAAAAGTAGAACACTGTCTCCTTTGGGGAATAAACAACACTTTAAAATCGTGCTTTACTTCCATTTATCAGAGACATATATACTCAGACTCATTATGCCAAAGCCATTTGGTTTCAGTACCTGACTAAATGGTTCCCATAAATTTCTAATCATAAATAGTAAGCCAGATGTGTAGCTGTGCCACCTCTTTAATCTGAAATACACTGAAAATCATATTACCATGCAGAAAATAGAATCATATAGCGTAAAAACAGAACCTGACAACATATATTTTTTGATTTTGAGTCCCAGACCCCATGACGCTACACAAGTTGCTTAACTTCTTTAAAATCACGCTTTCCTCACCTATAAAATTACACCTCACTATTTATTTCACAAGGTTATTGCAAGGAAAGTACTCAGTAAATTAAAAATATCATGTGTATTTTTAATTACTTCATATAAGAACTCTGCTGTTGCCTCTCTCTCTACTCATGTCGGAACAGGGATGCACCATGGAGGATCTAGAGTGACTCCTCTCCTCTTCAAGGCTTCCAAAAATTTACTTATGTCTACCTAGCTCAGTTTCCAAAATGACAAACAGACTGGAAGTACTGGCCCTAAACTATCCTGAAGGGTAAGATATGTCATCTGCCAGAATACTACAAATAAATGTTTATGACAGAAAATTCTCTTCATTTCTTTGAACTAAAAAAACCAATTACTTCTTTTTCTTCCTTTATTCAACTGGCACAACCTCAGAATCAGATGGAATCTCTATGCCTATTTCAAGAGTTGAAAACCAGGGTTTTAATAACTGAATCTTTACCTGGTTGATGCTTTAACACTATTAGATTCCAGGATGTTCTCGGTCATCCTCAAGTGTACCACCTCTGGCACTTCTTTAGATTTCTCTGCACAATCTTCTGGAAGTTCTTCCGACTGCTCTAGCTTTTCTTCTTCTTCCTCAGAGAGTTCATTAATCTATTAAAAAACAAATTTTAAAAGATTGACAATTCAAATTTTAATAAAATTATTTGATTCATAGGCCAAAGAAAAGTTATCATAAGAGGACGTTTTGAAACTGAAATTTAAACAACTTTCTAAATCCAAATCTCACTTAAGAGAACATTGTTGACACTTGCTCTACAGATCTGAAGAAATGAAAATTGTGGACTGGAAAAGCAAACAATATCTTCAAGAAGGATGAAATAACAATATATTGAAATCCCACTGAGAACATGGCTAGACTTTTCAACTACTAAAGAAAACTTTAGCATCATGATCAACATTAGGGCAGCCTCAACTTCTGCCCAACTTTATTAATATAGAAGATAAGTAAAGGCTCTCTGTTTTCCAGGTGTACAAAATGAGTTATTTTAATTCAGGAGGCATGAAAAATCCATGAAGAATGCACATATACACATACCAAAAAAAAACTTACTAGAACTTTTAAAACTAAATCATCCTCGTTTGGAATGAGTCCATTGAACCTGAAATGGCCAAATCGTTGACTTTTCATGGAGAAGGGGAACTACCAGGATAGGATTCGTTCCACTTATAAAGAGCTACCTCAACATATCATAATTCACTTTTTTTCTTAAATGGGAAGAATAAACAGATCTGGTGTTTGTTCCCTCAAAATGACAGCTTCAGGAAACAAGCCTTATAAAATAGGTAATGGATGCTAAAATTTGAGAGAGTTAAAAAAAGAAAAATGGAAAATGGAAAAAACCCTACAAATGTACATGTTCCAATAATCAAATCTGATTTCTTAAAATTCCCCAAAGGTAGAATATGTTGTAAATGGTCTTTGATAATTTTTTATTCACCGAACACCAGGTATTTAAGGACATGAGAACAATGAAAACACTGAATTCAAATCATTCCAACCAAGTATACTGGAAATGCTAAGAATAAACTTGGTTTTACAACCAGGGATAATAACAGTGCTGTCTCAGGATAAAATCCAAATGTGGTTTGTAAACTCCATGTTAATACTGAGGTTCTGAAAAAGAAAAACCAACAATCCACAAAAGCATCCTATCATGGTTTGGCATCCTGCTTATCAACTAAGAGAGGATTATAGAATTAGAGCTCAAAGGGATCTCAGGGCTCAATTAGTCCAAACCTCCGCATTTTACAAATTAGTAATGTGTGGTCCAGAGAGGTTAAGCAACTTACCCAAGATCATATACATAGGTAGTAAAAAACAAAAGCCAATATTCAAAACCCATCCTCTTAATTACAATTACTGAATTAATTATAAATTCAAAACTTTTATAGCACCAAGCTAACAAGTATTTAAATTGTTTAATTGTAAAATTTAACCATCCTTGATGGAACTATAAATACACTGCCAACATCACTGCCTTTTTTTTTTTTAATTTGAAGCAGCTAGGTGGTTGCAGGAGATAGAACACTGGGATTGGAATCAAAAAGACCTGAGTTCAAATCCAGTCTCAGACATTTACTAGCTGTGTGACCCTGGGCAAGTCACTTCACCTGTCTACCTCAGTTTCCTCAACTGTAAAATAGGAATAAAAATAGTGCCTACCTCACAGGGTTTTTGTGAGAATCAAATGAGATATTTATAAAGTATTTAGTACAGAGCCTGGAACATAGTAGACGCTTAATAAATGCCTATTCCTTTTCCCTGTCCTTGTTTGGTGGGACTCAGCTTATGATAAGGTACATAAGTGACTGTTCTGAGCTGTGTACAGAAAGGTCTCAGGGCTACTACTGAGATATATGGGGCCAACTGTCCTATACTGAACAGTCCCAGACTACTGGATATTAGGAGTTTGCTGGCCTACTTTTAATAATGTCTCCCTAGCTCTCTCTGTGACTATCAGGCTGTCATTTTATTGCCTGCCTCTAGCAGCCTTTCCTTTCCTCCCACATTCTCATTTGTGGTAAACTAAGAAACCAAATAGTTAGATCTGCTAGTTAGATTTGTCTAAAGAAAAAAATAAGAATAAGAGTGAGAGTGACCAAGACACAAGTAAAGTCCTGAAGGGCTCCCCTGAGGCAAAACAAATTCAATTTGATAAACTTATTAAGCATGTACTTTTCTAGACACTGCAAGAAATACAAAACTGAATTAAGACAGATCCTTGCCCTCATGAAGCTTACAGTCTGAAGAGATATGATACATGATGCAAATAATTACCATATATGACAAGTGTTTGAGGGCGATGTGAAACACAAAAGGGAAGGGCATTACCAATTTGGGGGATGAAGGAAGGCCTCAAGAAACAAACAGCAGTTGAGTCAAGCTCAGAGGAATAGGTAAATGCAATATGGTACAATGGAAAGACGGTTCAGTGGACAGAGAACTGGGCCTGGAATAAGGAAGACCCAAGTTCAAATCCAGCCTCAGATACTCACTGAGTGATCCTGCACAAGTCACTTAATCTCTATTTGCTTTAATGTGCTGGAAAAGGAAATGGCACTCTAATATCTTTGCCAAGAAAACTGCCTAGACAATACAGTCCACGGGGTCACAAAGAGTTGGACACAAATTGAACAACTGAACAACAATGGAAAGAAGGTTATCAGAGGAGTAAGGAGGAATGCCGCTTGATTATACTGTAGTACAGTCATATAAAGAGCACTAGATTTGGAAAGAGAGGACCCAAGTTGAGTCCTGATTCTTACTATGATGACACCATGGAAAAGTCACCTGAGCTCTCTGAGCCTCAAATCTCTCCCTTTCAACTCTAAATCTATGATCCTAGGATTATAATCTTGCCTCTAACATTTGCCATACGATTTAACCTCTCTGAACGTCACATTCTTCATCTATAAAATGAAGGTGATGTCTATGGTACCTATATCACAGGCTCACAGGATCACTGAGGATAAAATGAAAATAATGTAAATTTTAAAATAAGGTACGTTAATCACTTTGTAAACTTAAAAATGCTAAATAATGTCAGTTATCTGTCATTAGATGGAAACAGGGAAGGCACTCCAGGCATAAGGAACAGGACCCAGCAAAGTGAGAGGGGCCTTGTATGGGGGGGGTGGAATTAGTCCAATTTAGCTGAAGGGTAAGGGAGAGGTTATTCATTTGAGAAAGGAAGAGTTGAACCCTAAACATGTAAGTGCTATCTTCACACACAAATCTGTGGTATTTCATATAATCTGGGTCTTTAGCTATAAAATGCCACTCAAGATATTATTAGCATGATCTGAGCTATAAGGACATATTTATGTAGGTGCCAACCTGTGTAAATTTTTAAATTGTACCAAATCACAAATAACTTCCCTTTTCATATATTACATAGAGTTAATATAGGAATAAATACAGAGAAATATGTTTGGTGAATATCTGCCTAGAAGATGGTTTACCAATTTAAAACAAAAATCACAATTAGAAAGAAAATCAGAAACATAAATTATTAACCACTCTACCTAATTTGTGAAGGCATCTGAGGCTGGAGCACACAAGAAGGTATGAAAGAAAAAAAAAACAGGATGGCTTTTTAATTGAGCAAGAATTTACATGCATTCACTCTCCCAAATTTTAGGTTGACAAGATTCTGGGAATGTGGATCTGCTATAATTTTTTATGCTTGGTAATCGAGATATTAAAATGTACACATATTCAATAAAATATATTTGAGATAGATAAAATCAGAGGTTCATAGAAAATGCAAATTCTTACACTTAAATTCAAATTAATGCAAATAAACTTTTACTTTCCTCTATTATCATCATCTCTAGAAGTAATCTGGTAAGACAATAGAGCTAAAAAGCAGCTATCACTTTTCTACCCCAAAATAATGATCATATATAAAGATGAGTTTTTCTAAACTGATACAGTGAATTTTAGACATTTCATTTAAATAAATGTGCCCTAACTCCATCCCCATGAAGCTTTTCAGGAATGAATGCTTGTCACTGTGCCTAAAGGGAAGCTGGTTCAATCAATTCAAACATGTTAAGTTCATTTGTTATGCGCATAAATAGGAAATGGATCGGTCCAATTTAATAAATATTTTTTAAACACTTAAGAAAAAAAGAATGAATACTTGGCTCTCAGTTTCTCAATACCACCTTAGCATCCAATTCATTTCAGACGCTACTTAAAACTATTCTGTATGTTTCTGCCTCAACTCCACTTCTAGTAGATCCTTATCCATACTTACATCTCTTCTTTCTTTCATTGTTGTAATTCCCTTCTCTAGGGTCTCGTGAAATGCCTGCTCTCCAGACTCCAGCTTGTGGAGAACGCTGCTGCCTGCCTTCTCAAATGTATAAAGAAACATAATTATATCACCTCCATCCTCAGATAAATTAAGGACTCCATACTAAAGAGATTGTTCACCCTCTTTAGCTTGTCTCCAACATGTTCTCTAGTTGTCTTTTACCAACCATTTGTTCCTTTCTATAGTCAGACTATTACTAAGAATGTCTCCTGATTCAATTTAACAAGGCTTATAATAGCCAAGCCATCACATCAATAGTAACAAGATTGTGAATGAAGAAAATAAGTGGGTGGATAAACTTGATTTTACAAAACATGAAATTCAGAGTAAAACAGCATTACTGTAGTAAAAGTCTTTAGGGTCTTGGAATTCCTCATTAATGGATGACAAAGCAGAAATAGCTATATTCATTCAAATTTGAAATACAAAAAAGATTATGCTGAATTTAAGAAATGTTCATTTCACTCAAATACCTTATTATTATTATTTCATAAGCCACATAAAGTTTGTCAAAATTACTTAGGAAAAATAAATAAGCAAAACTTAAGAAATCTGCTCCCCTCATTTGCATCCTAATATGTTTCCTAGTATAAGAAAATATACAGTGTTTTAAACAATCAAATACACCTTATACACCTCAATAAAAATACAGACTTGGGTAGTTTGCAGGCCCAAAGAATGACTACCTACATACAAATATCCCAAGACTCATCCCTCTTCCCAACCCTACATTCCCATCATTTTCTTCCCAACAGACAAATTTCCTTTCCTCTACATAGACAAATGTGTACAGTTTTACTATACATTCTTTAATTTTGCTGTTCTGATTTTTCAGAGCTTAGTTCATTTTACGCATACCATTTTTTCCAATGTCTACTGAAAAACAATACAAAATGCACATTCAACACAAGTAGATTAAGAGACTTCAGGCAATACAAGCAAATCCTAATAAACAAAGAATGCCAGAGTAGTCTAATACAATCCAAAAAATTTCACAAAGGTACATCCTACATATTGCAGAGCAGTTGTAATACAAGTGCTTTCTCAAGTCCATTTAGTGAATCCCCTAAAAGTCAAAGCTTAATCTTAGAATGCAGTTGAATGATTCAAATAACAAATTTATTTTATCCCACTCTGCATAAACCTAAGGTTACAAATATAACTAAAAATCACAGAAATGTAAATGAGCCAAAATCCTCAAATAAAAGGATATATTTTGGCAATTAAAACATAATCAATGAGGAATTCCTGCAAATGTGACTACTCTCTTACCTCTACTTTCATTTCAAAAGGGACAGATAATTCTTTTAAAGGAGATACTTCATAATTTTCCTTTAGCCTTACCATGTTTCCTAAGTTGAGATCCACATATGGTAGCTGTCAACTTCAAAACTGCACCAAAATGTCCAAGTGTCACCTACTCAGGCTACAAAGCCCACCCATACATTTTATTCCCATATGCATATATTTTCATCCTTCATTCACACAGCAAGATGCATTTGGCATTTGCTACTGTGTCATTTCTTTAAAGTTCATACTTTAAAAAAAAAAGATAGTCACTACCCATGTTTATGTTTTAAAAACAGAAGCAAAGTGGAGACAAAAATATTCAATGGGAAGTCCACACAGAAGATGGCAGGCAGTATCAAAAAAAGTTCCATCCTAAACATTTTTAAACATTAAAGAAACTTCCATTTACCTAGAGTTCAGGTTATACACAGAGTAATACCACTCTAACTCAGATAAAATAAAATGTCACTGAACTACAGATTATTTTCCAAAAAATGCTTTTATTACCTACAAGTAAATACAGTAACTAACAATTACCAAAGTGTTTCCAAGTCCAGCCTAGGCCCACATTAATGACTAGATGAAGCTGCTTTATAATCAAAAACGTGCATTCATTGCCAAATGCGTTAAAATCCTTTGAAAATTTTGTTCTTAGCAAAGTTAAAATGTCACCTATAATTACACATATTATTATTTTGTTTGGTAAACCCATTTTTCGCTAAAAAAAAATTTCAATCCAGATAAAAGTCACAAAACTCTAAATAGACTCAAAAATGAATGGAATTTTACTACAACTACCATGCTAAAAGGTTATTTTTCTAAGGTGAGAAGCTATAACCCTAAACTACTTAAACTACAAAGGAATATGAAATATTTTTAAACTATAATGTATCCAAAGACAGAATTTGATCTCTAAAACATAAATTAAATGTGCAGCCTTATTTCAGGTCCAAGGCATTTCCTACTTATTATATAACTACATTTCTGCACTACAGAAGTTCAAATATTTTAAGTATCAAAATGACTTTAACAGCTTGGAACTAGCAGAGTACCCTTGACTTCCATTTCTCCATTTATCAAAAATTTAAATCAAAGTCAATTTTAAGTTTTTTACTTATCTTCCAGGTCTCATTTCTAAATCTCATTTACTTCTAATACACCTTTACAAATAATAAATGTACAACTAATCTTGGGCAGAAAATACAAAAATTTTTTCCACAGAGGATGGCCTAAGGTTTACATTAATTTTACATTATCATCCAAATAATGCACCAGATGGCATGTCCTAGGTGTCATACACCATAAATATTTTTGAATTCACATTTTTAACAAATCGTGTATGGGCAATATATAGCACATCTCTTAGAAGGTAGTTATAAAAACATGATTTTATTTTTTTTTAAATTAGCCTTCAAAACAGGACAAACTTGAATATTTACCTGTTCAGTCAGTGAACTCAAATCATTAGTAGATGAAAAATCTTCCTCTTCATTCTCAAAGAACTCATAGTAGTTTTCCAGAAGTCCAGCCATTATTCTGCTTACTATTTCTTGCTCTTTCAAATCTTCCACATCTGTATAAATGCTAAAAATACAAATTCTAAATTTAGTTGAAGAGTCTTTATCAACACACTTGGCAAAAGAAAGTCTTTTCTCCCCCATAAGAAATGAAAACCACTTTTGACCATACTTTAGCCACCTCAAAGACGATTTGATAACAGTGGGTGACACATTTTAAGTAAAGTGGCAGGTAGCCTTTTATTTTGAACTCTCCAGAGCATCTGATTTATCACTTTTGAGCCTCAGGTTTTCCCATCTGTAAAATGGCACTGTATACTCTTCCCATGCAAGCTGAGAGGATCAATCAAATAAAAATAATAGCTCATAAAAGTCTAAACTCTCTAAAAGGCATTACATTTCATAAATAACACTTCATAAATCCAAAACTTCCCTTTGGGTTAAATGCATACATTTACAAAATAACTTACTGGAAGACATCTGGACCGAAGACGGCAGCCAAAGAATTTGCAGACCAAATTTCTTCATGATGTGATGCTACGTTGGCTAAAAATCTACACAGAAACTTCAACAAACTGTAATTAACAGGTGGAAGCTGTTGCAAGAGGAACCTCAACTTTCTTCCAAATTCATCTTCATTATTATAATCTGTAAAGTGTAATGACAGGTTTTTAAGTTAAGCAAAAATAAAGCTCAGATATTCTGCCAACTTCACATTACTCTATCCCCATCATCTTTTGACTTCCTGTAGTTAACAGCCTTTGGCTTTTTGTTTCATTTAAGGAGGAAGGGAGAAGTTATGAATAGGTGAGGTAGGGAGGAAGAATGAGGATGAGAATTAATTCATGCTTTTAAAAGTTAGAAATGTTTTTTTCCCCATCTACTCCCCACTAGTAGCATTTTTTCCTTCTTTTTCCCCCTTTTCAATTTGCTGTCTGATACATCACCATAGCTGTGCTATTCAACCACTGCCAACAGCAAAAAGCTAACTAAACTAAGCCAACATAAATAAGTCAGCACCAACTCCTGGGGAAGACAAATGCACAAAAGTAATTCCATCATTAATATATCAGCAATATTTTTCTACTTGGGTAAATGGGAAAATAACTTGTCATAATCATATTCCATGTTTTCCCATTCACTCAAGTATAAAAGTATTGCTGGCATATTAGTGATGGAATTGCAAGGTCTTATTAGAGAGAAATTAATTCCATTTTTTCTGTAATACCAACAGAACTAAAAAGAGGTGGAATACTACTAGAAGATCGAGAGGGAAGGAAAAATTCGTAACGTTTTACATTAGGTGAAAAACTTGGAGTTTGTCCAGACAAATGTATTTTCAAATTACTAATTTTTTTTTAAAAATATAACAATTGGTCTTCACAATACTATATCAGAAGAACGATCAAAAATAAGCACTAAAAACATCTACAATTAAGGCAAAAAGAATTATACATAAAGAAAATAGATTAGGTCAGCAATGTAATTACTTTATTGACACCTCACCTGTCACTACAAAAAAAATGTGATTTATCAAAGGGTTATACCATTTTTGCAAATCTTTAATCTCTCCACAAGTACATGTTAAAATGAGAATAATATGGAAATGAAAAGTTTCATCTACTACTTAAAAACAAATTCATTATGTCAAGATGACACCTGATGCTGTCTAATGCAGACACATATAAAAGCTAGAATGTATATTGTGCTTTAAGGTATCTACTGTGCTTTACAATTATTATCTTATTTTATCTTCACAATCACCCTGGGAGGTAGGTGCTACTATTTATCCTCAATTTACAGATGAGGGAAGTGAGACAGAAGTTAAGTGACCTCCTGGAGTCGAAAGCCTTGGAAGTGTCTAAGCCCAAATATGAACTTGGCTCTTTTTGATTTCAACACTCTTTATCTATTATACCACCTAGCTGTCTTGTCAAACGTATGTGACAATTCAAACCAACAGACAGGTATAAAACTCCAGTGACAGAGAATAATACTTCCACATGATATCATTAAATAATATTACAGCCATAAATTTACACATTTTGCTCAAGCTTATAAGAAACCAGACCATGACATTCTTCACTAAAAATCTCATTTACTATAAAATTACCCAAGGTGCATACACCAACACATCATAAAGATAGAATACTAGCAGGTATCCGGATGGCTCAAGAATAAACCAAGACTTCTTTCCTTTAGGGGATCAGTACTAAACTTTATATAATTCAAAATATGCAAGCATATTTACATTAATACACACACACGAAAAAATAATTGAAACAAAAAAGGAACAGATCTAGAAACTTTTTTAAAAACATCATTATTAGAAAAACATGAAAAAAGACAACAAAGACTGATAAAAGTAAAACTGGCAATGAAGATTCATTTTGAAGGCCATTAAACAACTGAAGAGGTACAACAGAGAACAACGCTTTTGCTCATCATTTCACATTAAGTTGAATTGAGCTCAGTCATCAGAATGTATGAGACAAAAGATAGACACAATTTATCTCCACTGGCCTCTAAACATAAACCAGAGATTCCAATGGACAGGCATAAAAACTGATACTGCTTCTACTTTCAAACAAAGTTACTGAATATTATTAAAGGTTGCTTGAAGAATCTCCTAGTTTTTTTCAGAGTTCAACTCATTTTCCTACACTGAGTTTTCTCCTGATCACGTCACATACTGGTGCCCTCTTCCCAAAATCAGCTTGTAGCTAATTTGGTATTTCTTTTGTACATACTACCAATTTATGTATCTGCTGTCTCTACCCACCTAGACCACAAGGTCCTGGAGTATGAAGTTATTTTCACTTTTGTCTTTGCTTTCCTGGGACATATAGGGAGCTTAATTAATATTTGTTTATTGAGTCATGTACATGTAATTTTTTTAACCCACTGCTACAATGCCCAGGTATAAACATGAATGGAATAACTGGAATACAGTAATATAAATGTTATGTTAAGTACTCAAAATTTCCCCATTTTTAAGAGTTACTGACAAAACACAGGAGTCTTAGAGGAAATCTGGCAAGTGGACTACAACTACAGAATCCCTCCTATAAAATATAAATCAGTCCCAATATACTATGAAAACAAACAAATTTACATCTCTCAGATTCTCTATCTAAAAAATAAAACCTGGATTTATTTAATTTATTTTAGATTAGTCTGATTTTCCTTTATATTGCTGTTTCATATCCTTCTGGATGGTATCCTGGGATTAGAGGTACATGACCTCTATTTCTATGTTCTGCTAGTAGGAGTAGGAGTAAGAAGCCTATGACAGCGGTACTACTAACTGGCACCTGAAGATAACTGTTGGTGATAATCTGTTATACTCTACATCCTCTACATTTTCCTTCACTGCCACACTTTATGCATTCCCTTTTTCCTCTTCCTATCCTATGCCTTAGGCCTATTAAGATCATTCATGAGAACAACTGTGTCCTACACTGACTCCAAGAAAGTACATAAGGAAGAAAAATTAATCATATGACTATAAGAACACTTAATTCAAGATGCCCCCTTCAAAAAAGTGATGGATAATGGTACTTAGTAACTGGATCTTAATCATCTATCACGTTACCTTGAGAAAGTTGCATCAAGTGAATATGCAAGCTGCCAGGGATGACAGGTTCTGGAAGTTCTTGAAGGAAAAACCTAAGAAGACTAATAGCTGAGGGAACATCTGCTTCCTTAACCAGATCCACATCTTCTCCATTGTCATATCTCTGCCTGAGCCACTCCACCGTCTCAGCATTTCCATTGACTTGAAAAAGTCCTTCTTGCTCCAGACCTCCTGTAATAGTACAAGAAAGGAAAAAATTTTCCAAAGCTACATTTTAGACCAAATAAATACACATAACCTCCAAATGTTTAAAACCTTTGTTCAATGTAAAACAACCCTGGCTTATATTGTTCAACTCATTATACACCTGAATATGTTTTCTTTACCCTCCACCCTAACCTAACCTTTTCCCTCCCTTTACTCCCCCCACCAATAAAAAACTCATCTCTCTACAAAAATACTATAGGTTCACCAATAATTATTTTTAGCTTGGTAATCCTTTTGAAGAAGTATAAGTTCAATTAAAGAATTAAGAAGGCTACCAAAACAAAGTTTTCTACTCTATTTCCTCCCTGTGTCTGAGAGATCAATGGGAAAAGGACTTGTATTGATTAAAACAAAGGCCAAAGAATGACTAGACTAGCCCTTTAAAATAGAAAGGAAATATATACCATGTTCCTCAATATAGTCCACAACGTGGCGAACTATGAATGGAACCTCATTGTCTGGATGTCCTCCCTGCTGCAGCTCATCAAGTGGAATTCCAAATATTTTGTTAGCAAGTACGGAGTTGCAGTTACTCAAGGAAGGGGAGGAGCTCTTCCTCATATCTTTTTGCAGCCAGAAATCAAAGCTGTCTTTTCTGTCAAATGAAAGACAAAAAAAAGACTACAATGATTAACAGGTAGCAATATGACTAGACACCAGAGATGGCTTACATCTGAATATGCTCTTATGGATCCAAGTTAATTCCTAAATTTCTGACCCATGAAAAGAAACATCCCCTATGTTCACTAATTAAATTTCATTACAATTATCTAAAGTTATTTATTATTGTGGATTCTGTTTTACCATCTCATGAGCATTTATTAATCAGAACACTTAGAATACTTATTAGATCAAGATCTTGAAATTTAGTACCATGGTCTATTACAGATTTCAGAAAGCACCTTGAGACAACGAATTTGCCTCCTAGAGGTTAAACTAGTCTTTCCCAAGCTTATCCATGAACTATGACTACATAAACTAGATTTCCAGACCTTGACAGACACAGCTAGACTTAATTATCAAATCATATGCCTCCACATGGCTTAATATAACTCAGAAAGGTCCAGATGATTATTTCCATTCTACAGCTAGAGACAATTTTCTGGCCCAACTATTTCTATAGGAGAACCAAGTATTACTAAGTAAAGAGGCTCGTTATCAGTAGGATAGGCCCTATATGAACAATTCTTTGCCTACTGAAACCATGAAACAAAGAAAATTTTAAAAAGACAGTCAGTCCTAGACAACCCAGTTCTATCATGATGATAACAATGGTGGTGATGATAGAAATGGGGCCAGGGATACTATCAGACCATTAATAAACATTAACTTAACAGTGCCCTAAAAGAGAGGGGTTTAATATAATGACAAATTAATACATTCATGGAGAAGCAGAGGATTTAGTACCAGAAAAGACCAGTCAATAAGATATCAGCAACCACTCACCCACACATGTAATTTTTCATATCTATGTTTTTTATGACATTGAACAATTCACATATCAAGATTATCACTGACAACAATATGAAGAAATGGAAAGGCTTTCGCAAACTATTTTCATTAGCAGACCACACAACCATCACATTCATCCAAACTTCTAGAAATAGAAAATCCTATCACATTTGTTCATTACAAAATGAAACAAAACTAAACCCTCTGAAAGAGCAATACACATGTTAAATGATCCAAGTTTCCTCGATGGATGCAACAACAGGGGACTATATTCAATAAGCCTCTGATTATCAAGATTAAACAAGTATAAATGCCAGAGGTATTGCCACTCCTATGGAAAACGTCCTATACAAAATCCAAAAAGAAAAAGGATTCCCTCTAAATGGCATGGGATCTAGATCCTCCTATTTGTAGATAACACTGTAATGACTACATCAAGTCCCACTACATTACAGGGCCTTCTTAGTGAGATCCACAGTCACTCTAAGAGTCTGGCTAGCAACTCACACAGGAAAAATCAAATGGATAAAAACTGCCTACTATTCAGATGATGCCACACAATTGGACAGATAATCCAACTGAATCAGTTTATCACTATATCTTAGACAAAAAATGGACAGTGGACTGATCCCAGAATCAAAAAGACAAGAGTGGGTTATTTGGGAAAAACCTGGAAATCTTGGGATATTGCAAAATTATTTCAATGATCACAAATCCTACCCAACATAAAAAGCATTTTTAAAATTCCAATATTCTTCTAGCGATGCTGCATAGTTATGAATCATGGAGCACTCCAATAAATAAAAAAGCCCAAAATATGAAGTGCTTATCCTGTGCAGGGCATTTTGCTGAACGCTAGGGATACAAACAGAAAGGGGAGTCCCTGTTCTCAAAGATCTGGTATTCTTTGCTGTCACTTGTCCTTGGTATCCAAAGAGGACCAATGACATTACAGGGTGATGTCTTGACTTATGCATCAATTGGATTTAAGTGGGACAGAGGTACACAAAGTCATTCACCTCACTCTCTCTTCCAGGGTCATCAACGTCCAGTGGTAAAACAAAAATCAGAATACTGGCTATGGCCCAGGACACAATGGACGGCTTTGACATCTTAATGTCTGACCAAGCTCTAATTGCTCTACAATGCCTCCTTTAGCCACCTTCATGGCTGTTGGAACAAATTGTTCTCATCTGCCAGTTCCTCCAGAGAGAAGTCTTCACATGCTTGGGGTAGACATCCCACCAATCCACAGACAGGTTTAACACTCGTTGGTCACCCTCAACCTGGTTCATCTCATCTAAAAAGACGATTTTTCTGGGAATGTGACCTCTGTGCATGCTACAGCTTCTTGGAGCCACAGATAAAGAGTTAAATGACAGCTGGACACCAAAGGTAGATGAGCACCATGAAAGGGGCTCAGCAAGCCCTCACATCAGAGGTGCTAGTTGTTGCTGAACACCTCACATACCCTGCTTGCACTCTAATGGGGGAGAAAACAAGACGTTTTACATGCAAGCCCCATATCCATTTCTGATGCCAAACTGACAATATGAAGGACTTTGGTAGCAAGAACTTTCTTCTCTAGGTCTTCAGTAGTTGGAAGAGAAAAGTGGTACAGCACTGTACCTCCACAAGAGTTGATTCCCTGAATGATGACTGCGGGCAGTGGACCAGAAGCAGATCATGTGGGTGTGAGAAAGAGGAGTGCTACTACTCCCTGGGATTTTTCCTGGGCTATCTCCATCCAAGTCTGAGGGAAAGGTGGTCATTGAGGGGATGATAATGGTTTGGCAAGCATATGCCGCCCAGCAGACACTTTGCTGCTGGGGCTGGCTTGCCTACTCTGTGGATGGCAATTTGTTGAGCTGTCTGATGCCTTTTCCACAGAGGTTGTTCCCTGGGGTTACGGCCTGTAGAGGCTAGGTTGGAAGCAGGACCAATAACCTGAACACTATCAGTAGCTCCAGGGCTCTGGAGCTCAAGGTCCTGGCCTATTTCCATTGGGTTCTGAGGGGAACTAGTGTTCAAGGCAGTTGTGGTAGTTAGACTCGCCTGGCACATACCACTTCTTGTCTCTCACTGAGGGTGCCTTGTTGATTGAGCTTCGAAGAAGCACAACCAGACAACTCAAAAAAAGACATACAACAGGTCACACCATATTACAAAAACAACTTGCACCTATGATTCCAAGTGTAGTAAGAAATAATATCCAGGGAACGTATGATAAAAAGGGAGGTGGGACAATCATGCAACAAGTGATAAAAAATAGTCATCCAAGTACTTGCACCAGTACCAAGAGAACAATAAGATTTAGGGGAAAGTCACAAGCGTACTGAGTACATACTTAGCGGAGTATTTTGGGAGGGGGATGAATGAGAACTGACCAAAATGAGAAAACTTGGATGGGCTACAATGTTCATGGATAAAAAGAATACTCACATTGATAAGATCATACATCTATTCAAATACTGAACTCTAAGTATTTCCGTATGACACAAAAGTCAATAACTAGTTTCTATAAGTAGGAAAGCATTTTTGTTTTTTAAAGTCAGATTTTAGAGAAACAGTATCCTTTTGTTTCACTACCAAAAATTTTATTTATATTGTCTTTTAAAGGGAATATACAAGTCTAAGTCCAAAGATCAAGACTTTGTCCGAGTTCTTATGATTGTATCTGCTACAAAAATAAGAGAAGGAAGCAATGTTTCATATTGCCTTCTCCAATCCATGTAATCCACACAAGATCACAGAAGACTGGTATCCATCTAACTTTTACATTTAAATTTGAATTTTTCTAAGTCTCCTATTATGCATATATACAAATGCATAGTATGCTACCATGTGCATATATCAAGGTACAGTGTGTTCAGTTGTGACTGATCAGTTCAATACAAGTTTGAAAGGCTCTACCACAGATAGGGCATAAGTAGTCCATTAGAACACTTAGAAAGGAGATGTCTTTGGATTTGCAAAATTCAAGTTTCCTTTGTACTACTGAGATTCTGTTTTACCCATGGAGCATAGCATCTTCTTTGATGCAAGTATACCATGCCAGGCAGTCCTGTGCCAGGGTCACCCACATCTAACAATCAATACTAAAATTCTTCAGAGAGACCTCAAGAGTGTCCTCATACCGCTTGGTACAAGGCACTTCTTGGCCACTGTGTGAGCACCTGCCTTATGTGAATATTCTGTAAAACAGTCTTTTAGGCAACCATGTATTTGGTATTCAGGTTATGCAGCCAACACCATCAGAGCTGCACTCTCTGTGGCAGCATTTAAATGTTTGGCAGTTCAGCTTAAAAGAGGATCTCAATGCCTGGTACCTTATCTTGCCACGTAATCCTTAGAATCTTCCTAAGACAAATCAAGTAGAATCAGTTCGGTTTTCTGACATGATGCTGACTGTCCAATTTTCACCAAACATGATATTATTGTACCATAAAAGGAAAGGAAGGGTTTCAGAGAAACCTGGGAAGACTTTGAAGAATAAGAGAATGGAGTAAGCAGAACCAGGAGAACAATTAATATAATTATTCCAACAGTATAAAAGAAAAATAACTTTGAAAGATTTAAGAACTCTAATCCATGAAATAAATCATGACCCCAAAAGATTGATAAGCATGTCCCTCACCCTCCTTGGTGAGGAGATGATGGAACTGTAGTTGTAGAATGACACATACATTTTCAGACATGGTCAACATGAAAGTTTGTTTTGCTTAATTAACACATATTTATTAAAAGGGTTTTTGCTTTCTTTTTTTCTGATTAGAGAGAGCGGGGAGAGAAGGGGCCAAGTAAAAGGATTACCTCTCCCCCCAAAAAAAGAAGAGGATAAGGAATTTAATAAAGCAATTTTTAAATATATGAAGGAGATCAGAAGGAATTCCAGACAAGCAGGACAGCTTTGAAAATTATGTGTTGAAAAGCCGTACAAAACAAGGATTCATAGTTTAATGTACAATCCTCTTTTACTGTTCTCTTCTGTATACATAAGAAAGTGTTCATTTTCTTCGGTGTTTTAAGTTCAGAGTAAAAAATATATACAACTTTAAAAACAAAACTCCCTCTTTTTTTCCTCCTTCAACCACACTTCATTTGTGGCTCTTCTAAATGTGGAGGTAAGAAGCTATCATTTGTGATAAAATTATACCGAACAAAAATTTCTTTAAGACTTATTGAACATACCAAATGTTTTCAAATAAAGAATATGCTTTTAAAGATCCACCAAGAATACGCAAAAAGGTTGCAACATTAGAATAAATCTAGCAAGTCTTGGAACGTGAAAATAACTTCAGGGGAACAGTTCAGTCACAAAGGCTAAAAACTGTGGGTATTCCTAGGCAAGTAAATATATAGGCTAATACATTACATATAATTGCCATACTTGTATGTGTATGTATATATGCATATATGTGTGTACATTTATATATCAGTTATGAAAAAGGACTCGTGCAAAATGGATTCTATGTTATTAAGTCAAATCACCAAAACCTAAAGAGATCACTTTTTAGGAGGAGACTATTTACCATTTTAGAAAACTTACCTTTGAGTACTTAAACACCTAAGTTTAAAAAACGGTTTCTGCACCAGCTACCCTCACTGAGCAAGCATTCTTTTGTCATTTATGGCTGTTTGAGATTATGGCAGAAGATGAGCCTGTAGTTCCTCATTGAAGAAACGCAGAACTCGATCAGTACTTCAGCAGTTAATCTAAAATAAGAAAAAACAAATTATTTCAATTTTTAGATTGCCTTTCATTTTCAAAAAAAGGGTAGAATAAAAAAATTTATCCACAAAGCTACTTTTAGAGGATGCTGAATGATTAGTCTATCTGTGTCCCTTAAGAAATGGGTAAAGCAAATTTCAAGCTCCTGTTGTGAGCTGAGTGCCTTTTACTACTAAAAACCATCAGAATTTGTTGACAGAATTAATAGATAAGAACAGTTTAGGGAGCAAAATATAGCCTAAGTAAGGAATGATTCCACTTAAAAATTCTTTTCTTGTTCCATGTATGTCCGACATTCTTGTAACAATACCTTCAAGCACTATAAAGATACAAAGGTAAATGTGACCTGGAACTGCTCTCAAGCAACTTATAGCCTAATAGAAGACGACCAGATTAAAATAAATATAAAAGAAATTACTCCTTCCTCCTAGCCTATACTAGTAATCAACATGGTTTCTAGTGTTTTCCAAAAAGAGAGAAAATAATGGCATAGGCTTGATGTCATGATTTAAAAGTAGAACTACATTTCTACCTTCTATACATATATATGTGTATATATAGGCAGGGGGGAGGGTGTGTACACACACACACACACACACACACACACACACACACACTGCTTTGATTATCCTGCCTAAACTACAAATAAGCTAGTAGAAGACAAAAGGTCAATTTGTCACATATGCGCCTTATTTCTAAGAGTCCAGAAACGAAGTTTTTAGAAATAATAGCAAGTTACACTGTAGCACTTAAAGTTTAGGTAAGCAAGCAGCATCATATGGTGCGGTTTTCAAAAGTCTATTATACTCACAATTTATAACCCCCAGGAGGAACATTAAAATTGTGGGGAATTAAAGTCATGTTCATAAACATGTCTTTCAACAGATAATTATTTCCCAAACATCCTGAACTGCCTGTTTAAACATGTGAACTATTAAGCTGAAAAACAAAAAAAAAAACTTCAAAGCATAAAATTATTTTTAAAGGCCTTTTAAAGCACTTAGTTTTTGGTTTACGATTTTTAATGGAATTCTATTAAGACTCAGAAGAACACTGCCTCAACATACAGGAAATTAAAGTGAAAAAATAGTTAAAAGCCTCTCAGCTTATTCTAATAAATGAGGATTTCTAAGACATGTTTTGTCACTGTCAAATTAGGAAATCTTACAAATCTGGTTAGCTCAAATGGCTAGGGAGCTATATGGTAATTAACGAGATTCTTGGTTAGTCTGCTCAGTTCTAGTGGGCAAATCTAGCATCTCAAACCTGACTAAAACACATACTGGTGAACAAGTTCTAGCCATACCCTCCTTGTTCTGATAGATCCTATGTGCACTGCTGCGGTATCTAATAGCTATAGCTGTTGGTAAATATGCAGAAATGTACATGCATGACTCTTAATTTAACCAGAACAGATAACTCTTAATTCCCTACGGGGAGGAGTCTTAGGAGGCTGCATACTCTATTCAGCAAAAGAAACTGAAAAGAAGTTCCTTTGTAGCGGCCCCAATTGTCACTTGCAACAAACACCAATAAAGAATGATCTCTAGAAAACTATCTGAGGAAGAATATTTCTGGAAAACCAGAGATTCTCCTTCTCAGAGGTGCAAGAAAAAGACCAAGGGAAAGTTAATTAACTTAAACTGGGGGCTAACATTTCAAAGTAAGTAACTCTAATCAAAGACTTTTTTCCTATCTTGAAAAGTTTAACTAAAAATTACTGAAATCAGTATATTTTATCTTTTTTTTTTTTTACAAAATTTAGGACATGACAATGAGTTGATTCTTAGAAGAATAAAGCAAGTTGATTTTTGGAGGGCATTTTTCCAACAAAATTATATGATAGCACAATAGGACATATCCTTCACTTCAAAGTTTGACCAAGGTCATAAAGAGGGTTACTGTTATGAAAATATTCAATTACTTCATCTTAATCTTTTGATATTCAAATAATTCACTTTTGAAACTCCTATATACCCAAAGAATAATGCAATGGACAGGCAGGACTGGAGCTAATAATGTTAATCAACCAATACTGACTAGGCTCCTATCATGTGCTGGGGTACTGGGGATACAAAAACAGTCCCTACCCTCCAGAAGTATACATTCTTACTAAAGTGGCAGTGTTCGAAAAGAACAAATTTTATAAGCAAATAGTTCATTAGTGCATTTTTAAAAAACAATATAATCAGTTTTACAAGGACAAAACACAGAGAACCAGACAGAACTTCAGTCAGAAATACCTAAGTTCACAGTGTCCACCTCTGACATATATTGGCCATGTAACTACCCACAGCCAATGGAAAAAGTCAATGAAGATTTTTAAGCACAGGAGAAATATGGCCAGACCTGTGCCTTGGGAAGATTATCCTGGAATCTGTCTGGAAGACAGAGAGATAGAAGAGGATAACCCGGAAGCACTTTAAGAGGATAACAGCAGATCAGGCAAGAGGTCATAAAAGCCTGAACTAAGATAATGGCTATATGAATAAAGATAGAGATGTTGAAATAAAATGAGCAAGATTTGGCAAATAACTTTATTAGGGGGAAGAGAAGAATGAAAGAAAGGGAAGAATAAAAGATGACTTCTAATTTATGAATCAAATGACTGGAGCCAAGTGGTATCCTCAGAAACAGGTATGTTAGAAGGAAGTTTGTTGAATCTGACAGACCTACGCAGGATACCCACAGGTGAAATTACAGTAGAATGATGGAATAAACAGAGATGTAGAATTCTAAAGGGGACTTCTCAGCCCTTGAAAAAGCTTTAGACATCAGAAGACACTGATTCTTTATTATGGTTTGTTGCACTTCAAAATTTATAGTTTTCCTTCTTTTTGGTACAAGTTTATTGATAGCACTACTATTTAGAGTCAAGACTAGGATAATATTTTAGCTAACAAAACAGAAATATCCTTCCCTTCTTGACATCAGGTACATAGGTATACCTAATAAGTCTAGGCGAATAGAGTGCTGGGCCTGGAGTCAGAGTTCTGAGTTCAAATCTGGCCTCAGACACTAGCTATATGACCCCAAGCAAGTTACTTAACCCTGTCTAAGTTTGCTCATCTGTAAAATGAGCTGAAGAAGAAATGTCAAACCACTTCAGTATCTTTGCCAAGAAAACCCCAAATGGGGTCACGAATAGTATGACATGACTGAAAATGACTAAACAGCAAGTAAGTCTAGCATAGTACTTTACACACAGTGAGGCTCAAATCGTCACAGAAGGCCAAAGAAAGCCTGGCATATGCACTGGGTGAATTTAAGGGGAGTAGGGGAGTGGGAAGAGGCAAGGCCACACTCTAGTAATTTCCGTATCTTAGACAAAAGATTGGAAGATTCCTTTTGTTAGGGGGGAGGGGCAGGGCAGGGAAGAAACAGAGACCCCAAGACACCAAGCTGAGGAACAATAAGCAAGAGCTCACTCCTATGAATGATATGATAGCTTCCTATTTTAACTAAGTTAGCCCATGGTTGGTCTGGGGAGCTTGCAGGGAGAAAGGGAGTCTAATAATTTTCTGCACATATCTCTTAACTCCCTTCTACCACCACCATCCCTCTTTTCAGCATGATGGGTAAGGCCTACCCCAAGGGCCAGGACCCAGAGCAGACAAGCAAAGGCCATGGGAATTAGTGCCTAGCCAGCAACGTAAGCTGTGTATGATGAGAGAATACTATCACAACACCTTTGGGAAGGGGAAAGTAGAGAACACTGAAGGAGAAGACAAGAACCACTGCTGTTTCCATAATCCCTTCATCCATCTCCCCTTCTTCTGATCTGCATAACGGCCTAAATATAAGAGGAAAGAATCAGGACAGGATGGAAGTTTATGTGATGTGAACTAGATATTCCCTACCACCATACCATGATTAGGAGTCAAAGTGTTGAGCCCATCATGCCTGAGTAAACAGAATGGCAAAAGCCCCTGATTGGAAGCTGTCCAGGCCCAAGCTTGTACCCTACCCCTGTGCCCAGATATTTAAAGTACCCTCATTAGAAATGTTTCAAGATTTAGCTCCTCTCTCCATGACCCTGCTCCAAATCTTGGAGTTCGTAGGAGGTACCCAAATAGGGAACAAAAGATTCCTGGCTCTGCTTTCCCCACACCTATGTGGAATTCCAGCAATAAACAACAGCATGTTTGGCATTCACTAAAGGCACTAAAAGTCTTGGCAGCGCTACTCTTACTATTATCCTCCCCCATATATGTACTGGTAACAGTTCTACCTAAATTGTTCTCCCTACACCTGTAAGGAAAAAGGGAGTGTTGAGAGGCAGAACAGAAGAATGGCTTTTATGGAGAATACTCTAAGTTTGGTAGTCACTAAATTTGGCAATCTACTTGCCCTAGATCTAATGGAAGGGGCAACCAGTGGAAAGGAGCTAGTACCAGGTTGCTGTCTAGAAATTTCAGACTGCTTATAATTCCTGCTTGAAGATAGTACTTTTTTTTTTTTAAAGACGTGAACTGAAAAGCTTAGAGAGAGAATGTACAACATGTTAGGCTACACAACACCAATCACCATCAGGAATACATAAAAAGGTTACAAAACAAGAATACACTTCTTGCTCTAATTTTAGTTTCAACAAGGTCCCTTATGTATCCACTGCTTATCTTTACCTTGGAAGTCAAGGGAGATCACAGCATCCTAACTAAGGTCTCCTCCTCTAAAGTTAAGCCAGTTCTGGCACTTAACTACAGGTATTAAGTACCAACTACAGTATCAGTACTGTGTTACACACTGTAGGTAATATAAAATAAATATGACATAGTCCCTGCCCACAAGAATCTTATAATCTATCTAGCTCAGAAGATAAAACTAAAGAACATTAAATAAATTAACAAGCTATATAAGACCATTTATAATTAAGCTGTAAAACTGATAGTGTAGCGCAGAGACTAGAAAGATTGCTATAAGCTTAAGTCATGCTGTCTTCCTGTAAGAGATTAAAAACTAAGCCTGAACATAAAAGGATGTA